TCAATCGCTGCCCATTGTGTTAGGTAAGGAGTAAATCTCAGTCGTTGTACGTTGTGTTAGGTAAGGAGTCAACCTCAGTCGCTGTATATTGTGTTAGGTAAGGAAACAACCTCAGTCACTGCACATTGTGTTAGGCAAGGAGTCAACCTCAGTCGCTGTATAATGTGTTAGTTAAGGAGTCAACCTCAGTCGTAGTATATTGTTTTAGGTAAGCAGTCAGTTTTACTTCATGTACAACTTGTTAGGTAAATAGTTTTTACACTCTACATGTTCCACTTTTTTAAATTTTCATATTACATGTATAAAATGTTAATATTTTACGGAGCATTTATTTTAATAAAATACCTTTAATATTTCATCACACACACACACACATACATTAAAATTAAAGACTGAAGTATTTTTTGGGCGCTTTAAAAAGTGCAGTCAGATCCCTGTACTTATCCTAAGAGCAAGAGACCGAATTAGCATTATTCTTAAGTCACAACTCCATGTATACTTGCGCATCAGACGAACCTAGTGAAGGCAGGATAGTTAACTTAGTGAGTAGTAAATGAATCTTTCAAAACCCAAGTGAGAAAAATGAGTGCTTATCATTAACGGAGCTGAAATTTAATGAAGGACATGGTAGCTGGGTACTAGATATAATACCCCTGGTGACTCCTAGAACTCATTCACGTTCCTTTGCCTCAAATTGAGAGCCCTTAAGCAATAAAGCGCTTCTATAAATGTCAGAAGTCCAAAGGACATAGCTGTTTAAACTCCCTTAGTAATTACGAGGAAGAGTCGTATCATATTGTTGATATAAGAAGGCAGGTGTTAAAATATCATCAGTAAATGTTAAAATATTAACTAAGAATGTTTAGTAATTAACTCTGCAAGCTGAACATTTAATTATAACTCTAAAGTAAGATACGAATAAATGAGTTAAGACTATTCATTAGAAGACTTTAACAACATTAAAAACGTGATGTAAGCTGATAATTACAGTAAAAGACTATAAGGATAACATGAAAGTGACTGAAGATTTTAATATGATTTACAACATTGGAAAGTCGGAAATATAATGGCTTGTAGTGATGTGATTATACTATAGCTTTAGGTTTTGTATATTTCACAGTAAGTTTTAGGTTTTGTATATTTCACAATCAACAGTGTTTTAAGCGATGAACATGTCTGAACTATGACACGATGAAATGTAATAATATTTAACATGTAGTTCACTTCAAAGTATTTGATTTTACCCAGGATTGTAATTTTCTTCAGTCATTTATGATTGTTGATATAGTGCGTTTCATTCACTTTATTTTTGTTTTATCTTAAATTGAGTAAAAGTTACACTCAGTTGTCGTAATGATTCACTTATTGGTGTATTACATAAACAGAATATTAGAACTAATGTAACACTACACGACTGACCCCAAAATAATGTGAAGAATACCAGAAAAGTTTAAAATTCGTATGAAAGTGTATCACATTGCTAACCTTATTATACTTATTATTAGAGTTCTTGTCTTTTTCGTCTCTTTAGCACCCAAATTGTATATTTTATCTTCACCTACATAATGTTCGTGTCTAGTATCGTATACATAGCATGCCTTATATCCTGAACCGTAACAACTTAACAAAATTTTAATTGTAAGCATATATTTACTTAACATCATTGAAACTTAAAAGCATATATTAATACTAAAAAAATCTACAGACACCGTAGAAACAGGCAGGTGAAGCGAAGTATCTATATTTGTGTGTGTTTAGGGAGGGGAGGGGGGGGGGGGGTTCATGACTGAATTTTGTCGACAAAATACCGTGTCCTGAATAAAAGATTGCTCGACATTTCCGCATATTCTTAAGCGTAAAATGTGTAGGTAAAGTTAAAGTGCTAAAACTATCAAAACCGTTAGCAAACTAGTGTACGCCGCCTGATCCAATTAGGAATTGTATCACCTTTTTATCCCGTACATTTGCTGAATTGTTTATGACGTTTTTGATGATTGCCCAAATATTCGCAGCAACAAGAAATTATGGATTTTTTCCTGAGATTTCTCCAAAAGGACGGATAAAAAATTTCCCAACAAACTTCACACATATTGTTTGGGGGGTCACCCCCTTTCGCTACGTCATTGCAATCAGGTTATTTTAGGAATCAGTTCGTTTTATTTTGTTCTGGAAAGTTGGGATTATCTTCTATGTAAATAAGTTCTAGTTTCAACTTCAAATGTCACAATTGTTCCATTTCACGTGGGAATTGTAGAAAGATTTCATTACGGCTTTTTCATGAATGTGATAATCGTATTTTCAAACACACCAAGCACAGCATTACCTTCCACTTCAGTGTCATCGGTTAGTTTATAAAGACTCATCTTAGATTATTACAGCAGTCTTTCTTATCACTATAGACGAGAGAAAACTGGTTTAACATTAAGTAGCTAAAAATGTGTTTTTCAAAGTCCAACTTATTAATCTAAACTTTTCATATTTGGTTAAGTATATTATGTTGTTAACCTGCTATTTATGGTAAAGTCTATTTGTACATTTGTACTGCTTAAAGTTGGCAAAACGTGAAATAACTAGGACTGGTACCTGATGATGACAAAAACCGTGTCGAAACGTTGTACATTTGCTGTTATGTTAAACTTATATTAAAGTTTTTCTTCATTACCCATTCAAGCCATCTCCAAGCATTATTAGTCTCAAAGTGGGTTCTTCGTCATCAAATTAGTTTAGAGTAAGTTTCGACAACAAAGACATCTCGTTGGACTTTAACACGATTATTCGTTCTATTCTTGCATTTATTTGTTCTTTTGCCTATGAAAACTCGCTTGAATAAAACTATTTTTGTTTGTAGGCGAAGCGTTCTTCAAGCTGGGAAAGTTCATTGACGCTGAACAGTGGTACAAAGAAGCTCTGCGAGTGAAGCCTAATCACGTTCCCGCGCATCTCACATATGCGAAACTATTGTCCAAATTGGTAAGAGCGTCATCTTTTGGTGAACAACAAAGATTGTGTTGGTAAAATATCATATTGATTTACCGTAAATATTAGGCTTTCGAACCTGCCACAGAAAAAGGCTGGTATATGATGCAATATATAATTAAAGCTTTTTATACACGTAGGAAGTAAGGTAAAGGTAAAAGTATATTGCTTTGAGTTAATATTTTGTGCAAAAAGCTCAACCTAGGTAATTTCATTAAAGTGTTTTTAAAGAGAAGCATAGCATTACCAACCTTGTATGCATCACCAATATTAATCGTTTTTATGTTTATTTTATTAGAATCGACCTGTAGAAGCAGAGCAGTGGTTTCTGAAAGCCAAGACCATTGCGCCCAACGACTCCAGTGTTTACCAGCATTATGGTTAGTCTAGAATAATGACTCCAGTATTTTTACCACACTATGGTTAGTCTAGAATAATGACTCCAGTATTTACCAACATTATGGTTAATCTAGAATAATGACTTCAGTATTTACCACACTATGGTTAGTCTAGAATAATGACTTCAGTATTTACCACACTATGGTTAGTCTAGAATAATGACTTCAGTATTTACCACACTATGGTTAGTCTAGAATAATGACTTCAGTATTTACCACACTATTTTTAGTCTAGAATAATGACTTCAGTATTTACCACACTATGGTTAGTCTAGAATAATGACTCCAGTATTTACCAACATTATGGTTAGTCTATAATAATAATAACTCCAGTGTTTACCAGCATTATAGTTAATATAGAATAATGACTTCAGTATCTACCAGATTATGGTTAGTCTATAATAATAACTCCAGTGTTTACCATCACAACGATTAGTCTAAAACAGCGTTTCCCAAACTATGTTTCGGGAACATTGGTGTTCCGTCCGAGATTGATAGGTGCTCCGTGAGAAAATCATGATTTAAATTTTAATAAAAATACTAGACCACCGTGACCCGTTGGGTCAACCACTATTCAGAGGTTATGAAGAATTCAAGCTAATTTCAATATTGCACCGAAAGGAAGGTTTATTTTGAGATAATTTAATTAAATATTTCAATCGTTCGTGTTATTCATAATTCAAGAAAAAATATTTGATTGTTGATCGGGAGTAAAAGGAAAGATCATTTCGTTTTTCAAAAAATTGAAGTAAGAAGTTTCGTAAAGAGCGCGAACGGTAGTGTGAATGATTTTTTGACTGAGACAATAAGCAAACAAACAAACAAACAATCTCTGAGTTTTAGTAGTATATAGATAGATTCTTCAAGATCTTGTTTTTTGATCTTACGCCTTTTAATGAAGATGGAAACATTGACAGGGAAATAATATAATAGCCAATGCCCGGCGAGAGATCTTCGTTTATAAAACTTTGTTGTTGTTGTTCTCGTCTCCATAGTTACTATTTGCAAACAGTCAATAATATTGTAGGTCCATTTTATTGTTGTTCTTTCTACGCGCCCTTATAACACATTTTCATCTCATTATTTAATTTCTGTTGTGCATATATTGTTGTATAGGAGATATTTTAAAGTGATTCATCAGGTGGAAAACGAAGTTTTATAATAATGGAATGTACGAAAAGTGACCCGAAAAACGGCGATAACTCGGTAACCCGTCGCTCGATTTTAACGAAATTTGTTTTATTCTATTTCTGTTCTCATTTCATTACAAATATGGTGCTAATGTGCGCTGTTTTTGCTGTAGTTAATTACAGGCAAGCACACGCACAAATAAACAAACAATCTCAGAGTTTTAGTAGTATATAGATTTTACACTTTTTGTACGATCATAACTTATGAAATATTTTCTTATGTATTATAATTAGATAATATTGATTTCGCATTGAAGAAGAGTTATAGAAGATGCCATATCTATTTAACATAATATCTTAGTGGAGAGGTTTGTACCTAAACTATATTATAAGCATAAAAATGTAAAAATTCATTAAAATGTATAAATATGAATACTTTACAAATTTAGAGGGCGCTGCGCGTGCAACATACCCTCTACGCCGATATTTCACGTGTCTAGTGCTCCGTAAGCTTTATCTCAGCTGAAAAGTGTTCCGTGGCCAAGAAGGTTTGGGAAACGCTGGTCTAAAATAATAACTAGTGTCCATCACTATTCCAGTTATTCTGGAATAATGACTACATTGATTACTAGCATTGCTATTAGTCTAAAATAATGACTCCAGTATCTACCAATATTATGGCTAGTCTAGAATCATGACTACATTGTTTACCAGCATTACAATTAGTCTATAATACATAATAACCGGCCCGGCATGGCCAGGTCGTTAGGGTCCTTGACTCGCAATCTGAGAGTCACAAATTCGAATCCCACCAAACATGCTCTCACTTTCAGCCGTGGGGGCGTTATAATGTAACGGTCAATCCTACTATTCGTTGATAAAAAAGTAGCCCAAGAGTTGGCGGTGGGTGGTGATGACTAGCTACCTAGTATTTCACCGCTAAATTATGGACGGCTAGCGCAGATAGCCCTCATGTAGTTTTGCGCGAAATTCAATACAAACCAATACATAATAACCACGGTTATATTGTAAAATAACCAGACACATGAGATTTCCAAAAACACGCATCTATATATTCTTTATATAAACATTCGGTACATTTTATCTATTCTACTAACCACTTTTATTAAACTATTTTTAATCTATAATTATGTAGATACGAAATTGATTTGGTATAGATCTGGATCTTTGCACCAAGTTTTCTGTTAATGTTTTCTAGAGCTTTGTTTCCACAAAGCCTATTTTTACTTAAGGTTCTGTTGAGATGCACACCTATACACTATGCTCACTTTTCCTGCGTTTACTTTTTTATCGATCAGTTTACTTAAGGCACCATTTTATCTTCGTTCTTTTATTATTTTTTTGTCTGTTAAATGTATAATGTTTGCGTTGTAATTTCAGTGAATAGCTTATTATTTTAGGGAATGTTTTAAAAATAGTGTTGGATCTCTTTTAGTTAATTTTGTTATACTTTCTGTATCTTCTTGTGAAGTGGTCTAAGTAATGTTAACAGTTTCTACTGTTCCGGTATTTTTAGGTCAGTTTTTGTCAGAATCGGAGCGTCACAACGAAGCTGCTGAAACTTATCTTCGTGCAGCGCAACTAGCCCCTGAAGAATACGAAATTGTCTTCAATACTGCTAACACACTGAGGTAAGTATCGAATACTTCTATCAACAAAAGTTTTAGCACGGAACAACTAATGTATCATCTATATTGTATATAATAGCCAAATGTCTGTTTGTCTTGCTGTATATCTCCTGGACGATTAATCATAGAAAAATATTATATATCAAAATGCTTATTTTGAAAAATACATAACAGGAAAATTATTTTATTTTTTTATTTTTTGCAATTCCTAAATTTCATATCGATATCAACATCGATTCTTTGGTCTTAGAATGTGCTAAACGGCCAATCTGAGAAAAAATATAAGAACAAATATGTTTCTTTTTGTGAGGGAATTTCACGGGATTTCCTCCGTCGACTGATTGAAAGAGATACTTCGAAGATAGGAGCATGAACAGAAGAAACGTATATTTTTATATATATATTTGCATGATTTTATTATACAAAATCGAATAAATTGATTTCAAGTGAAATGAATATCTCCCGTTTGACACTTCTTATAGAAATGACAACTGTCAAAAAACTTAAACTTCAGTAGCGATCTTTTCTTGCGCTCAGTAAAATGACCAGTAACGGTGGCATCCAGCGGAAAAATCCCCACAACTACTGAGTACTCTGTTTGCTGGATGCATCCATTGCATCGAAACCCAAAGATATTTGCCAAAAATGCACTGCGGTCAGTATTCTTTGCTTAAAAACAAACGTAATGCAGTTTTCCTTATTGAAATAACACATGAAATAACAATCATATTGCATATAGGCTCTGATCCAATGGATTGGGTTGACTGCACATTTAATATTTATTTATCACTATTTTTAGAAAAATTACAGTTGAATCGTTTCAACAGGCATCTGCTAATATTTTATAAATGTATATTTGATATTAACTCCATGTTTTCATGCCTTGCATTCGTCAAAGATTACCTAAGTAATCACTTTGTAATTATTTATGCACACCTCAATGCATGCATGTTACCGCTGTAGGGGTTCTCAGTTTAAGTTGGAAATGAAATAATTCTTATTTTAATCTCTCTTAGTAAATGAATAACATAAATCAGGTGCGTAAAGTATAAAGCAGAACGAAATATAGTCGGTAATTATTCTGTCAAGAAAGCCGTAAAGAAGAAAGCTGTCTGCAAATGATTTTCTTGGCAGAGTAAGCTCATTTCTCACCATTTTTGGACCTACATCTTAGAGTTTGGGAATTTTTAATTTTTTTTAAATAAAGGCTTAAAATATCTAAAAACTCTGCTGATCATCCTTAGAAAATAAAATCTGTTTGCGACTAGAAAAGTAAGTAAGCAAATGCCCGTGTTTCACGCAGTTCTAACCATTACTTTTAATATGATTACATAGCTAAACCCATCCGAAAATGTAGGATCTCTTGATTATCTGAAAGAAAGTGTTTTGATCTATTTTCAGAGTTTTTTTTTTTCAAGCTGCTGTTATTCAAATGATAGTCAGCCGTGAACTTAAATTCCGAAATATAGCTTACAACTGTCAATGTAAGGAATGTGTTATTCCACTAGGAGTTTATTCTTTACTTAGTGTCAAAATATTACTTAGAAAAATATTAGGTGATAAAATCATTATTATAAAACAACTCTATTCCTTGCTAGAAATTCACAGCTCCTACAAAAATCAAAGCATTGCTATCTTTCAGCCATAGGCTCCCCAAATGGCTCGGCGGTAAGTTTAAAGGCTTATAACAGTAAAAAACGGGTTTTAATACACGTGGCGGGCGAAGCCCAAATAGCCCATTGTGTAGTTTTGCGCTTAACAACAAACAAATAAGCTTTCAGCTATGAAATCTTCAAAAAGATACACTAGTGTTTCCACACTCAAAAATATGAAATATTATATACTTAGACAAGCAAGTACGTTTTTGTGTTGATTGAACAATAAATTACAGTTGTAAATAAATAAGAATTTCAAAAGTTTCCAAAAGTCATCGAGGTTTATTTTTGAGGCTTTCATTTATTCTTATTTTTTAGACAAGCTGGCCGAAATACGGAAGCCGAAAATTATTATCATTTAGCTGTCAAGCTACGACCAAAGGTAAGGATATTGAATAATTTAACTGATAACAGTCAGGGTTGAAAATAGAATAATTTAACTGATAACAAGTCAGGGTTGAAAATATTTTATTTCAGGAATATAGCTAGAAATACGATTGGATAAATTATGGAGTTTTGTTGAAACATTTTGTTTCTTCAAATTGTTATTGCCGTTTGGATCCGTAGGAAATTTTAACACTTACTAAATAATTCAATTTACTCGACAAAAACCTATTGGTAAGGAAAGTATAAAACAAATTACAAACTAACCTGGCGACACCTGGAGGCTATAAAATGAACTTTTAATACTTAAGGCCTGATAAATAAATATATATGTATTAAGCAAACTCCAGCCTATTTTAATACCATCTAATTCGTTTTATTGAATTTTTGTTAGTTGATCTCCAATAAAAAGTGTTAAACTTCAAATTATAATACCACGTGGACGATTCTTAGTAGATTTCGTTAGTTAATCAAAAACACTTTTATCCTTCGAGGGTAAACTAAAGAAAAGATAAGTATTAAACAAATTTCAGATTAACATGTTACCACCTGGTGATTTTTGCGGTCAGTTGATTTCAGATAAAAAAAAAGCCCTCCCTCTTGGTGGCTCATTGATAGGTCTGAAGGTTTATACCACTAAAAATGAGGATTCGATATTCGCGGTTGGCAGAGCTCAGAAAGATGTAGATTTGTGCTTTCACAAACAAACAAAGCATAAAACACATACACACAAACACACTCGTCGATCAAAAAGTGCTAGATAAACTTTAAGGATCAATTGTGGAGTTTAATATACGACAACTACCTGCCCCATAAGGTGAAAAACAAAACCTTGCAAATGAATTCTTACTTATACAGTAACAAAATGAGTGTCTCGAATGGTCATGCATTACTGATTTCTTATCTTTTATGAAAACATATACATATTTGTATTAACAATCCACATGATTTTAGGATTCTCTGAAAGTGTATATAAAGGTGTGTAGATGGTTTCGTTTTATTCCGTTCCCTTCAAAAATACTGCCAGTAGATGGCGCAAAATCAACAGCTTGTAAAAAATGAGAGAGAGAAAAATAATAAGAATCGTTATAATAAGTCTGTAACATAAAAGTATGAATTTTAGGCATGATTTACACCAGTTCATATTAGCATATAACAATTTTCGTGCTGTGATGTCTAACAGATTTCTCAAAGCTTATTATCCTTGGAAATGGAAAATTAGTTAATCAGCCGCGTGCTACGTTCCTAATCGAAAACCTCATCTCATCAGTTCAAAAACATTTTGAAGTCTAGTTTGCTATCAGTCTAGATTTTTGTATGAATTTCAAAATATTAATATCAAATGTAAAAAAAATTATAACAAATTTCGGTACAAAAATACCACTAATATAAACTCGTATTTTTCTTAAATGTTCACAACAATTATTAAAAGAACTTTGGCATTGCACTTTTTTATATTACTGTCTTTTATGTCTTCCTTTGTTATAATCATGATTACGAGAACATTTTTCCTCTTAATAATAATTACTGTATTACAACAGCACTTTTCATAAGTTTGTGTTAAAAGCAAATTGTAAAAACAGTGAAGACCAAAAAGCATGTTTGACTCAAGTCGTATGCTGTAGAGAAGTGAATAAAGTGACTGTAAGAAACTCGAAATTTAAAATTGCCATGCGTGTGTTCATCATGTGGGCAGAAGGTGCCACGTGCCACCTCACTTTGAATATATTTTAGCAAAACTTTTTCTCCATCGCCTCGCTCGCCAGTTTTTCTTTACTCTTCCCGCCACTTTTATCTATTTATTTTTCATTAAAAGTCACGTACCATAAATATTGCTGTTTAATCAGATTCTTATTGTAGTTTTGTTGTGGTATGCAGGATGTAACGAGTCATATGAATCTGGGAGCCATGCTGCATGTAAATGGAAAACTTCAAGAAGCCGAGTTCAGTTACTTGGAAGCTCTTCGTCTCAAGCCTGACGATCCTATAACTCAGAATAACCTACAGAAACTTCGAAACCTGCTGGCACAGAAAGGTCTTCGCACTACTACTCGACACCGTCGATAAGCTTGAGTAGCTGCCTGGAGATTTCGTTGAGTCGGAATGATCTTCTACTGTAACCCATCATCGACAGAAGTGGGTTTGACGTTAGTCACGATTTAGGCAAAAAGAAATCCACAATTCTTGAGCAACAAATGTCAGAGGAAAAGACAAGTGAAAACGTTGGTTCTGGTTAGAAATAAAAAAAAAGTGCTTTATACCACTGGTGGTAACGCAGGACTGTAACAAAATAGTTTTAATTCAAGAAGCAGTGTATTTTATTACTCTCTGAATATTTCTCAGTAATGGTGGGAATAAAATTTAAAAATAATTAGTTTTGAATCAGAAAATACAATTGTCATATACTATTGTAGTAAGTAAAATTTCTACCGGGACTGTAACAGTCAAGTAGCTTTGTTTCAAAAAGTACAATTGTCATATATTGTTGGTAACCAGTAATAATATAGATGAGTTTTGTCAGTGATGTGGTCCAGAAAAGACCATCCTCTTTTAATTTTGATAGTAAGATGGAACATCTACTAGTAATAATGCAAAAGAATTTTATGAAAAATGTAGTTTTGGCTCAGAAAAGTTTGTCTTTTAGATTGTTAGAAAGATTTAATTTTGATTCAGAAAAGATTGTCTTTTATTAACATCTGTAACATGAAATAAGTATGGATGATAAATTAGAACTGTAACAAAGAAAATACCTTTCACTGCACAAAGTAATTGTACAATTCCCATTTTAATTCACTCCAAAACTTTAAGTCACATTAACATTTCATAGTTAAAGTTCAAAAACAATTTTGCTTACAAATTTAATTAAAAAGGGCAATATTTTTTAGAGTTTCACTAATTCATTGCAGTTTTTATCAACCATAAACAAATATATTCAAACTCAGAAGAAAACACAGCCAATCAGCCTGTCTGTTTTAGATTTCTTTTTATAGTTTCAAATTTACACTTTTAATTTAAAATCATTTTTTTTAAATAATTGAACCCATCACACAAGAACAATATACAGAGTTATTTCTACTCATTCAGGAATGATGACAAGTTTTTCCGAGATCTTTTCGTCCTTTCTTAAACTGTACTTACAAGAATTGTTATTAAGCCTAACACAGTGGTTAACAATGATTTCTCCATAGTCTGAAACCCACACGAGTAACTATGATAGATTCATTGGTCTTCAGATTTTATACAACTTAATAAATACAAAATATTAGCTGTAATACCCTAACTTTTCTGTAAACCTTTACACTTATGAAATACCAATGTGTTTGTGTGTGAGTCATGATGTTCAATAATACAATTTTCTGAAACTTGTAAAAACAGAATATATCTGTAATTTGTTTTCTGTGACAACGTCTCCTTCAGCTAATCGGGGACTTTCTAGTCAAATATAAATAGACAAATTCTGAAACTAAGGTAGCTGTTGTATAATATTTTTATTATATCAATGCTCTTGTGATTTGTATAAAGCCATGTTTGGAGAAACTTATTTGACAAACGCACGAAGTGGGTTGTATTTTTTGTGTGCACTAATTCTCTCTATAATGTTCAAGATTTAATACCAGTTCTTCCATACACCCATTGCACTTTGAATTAATACACGATTTATAAAAGGATGGTTATGGATGTACAAGTATCAAGATTTGGTAAAGTTTACAAATAGTAATGGCAAATGATGTGAATTATTGAGATTGGAGCATACTTGTACAATTAAGAAAATATCAAAGATACTACCAGCCCTGACTAATACATGAAAATTAGTATTAGTACAAAATTTATTCAATAATGTTTATAAAAATGTTCTAGAAAAACTACCAATAATTTATCGCTTCTGCAGCTGCCCAAAGAAAGTGTGTTTTTTCTTCGTCAATTTCAATTTTAGAGTTTGTGATCAATCCTTGAATCATTAATATATCATTTGTACAATTTCGGAAATATTACCTGAGTGGGGAAGTAGGTAGAAAATAATAATCAAAGGAGAAAGCTGATAAACATATTTGAAATTTAAAAATGTAATCTCTTTTGCTCTAAAAGAATATTATGAGGTTCAATAATCTCAAACTATTAAAAATGTATTTATGTGAGATATTTTCTCATCCTATATATATCTATGTTTAATGGTTACAAAATTCAGAAATTTTTATTATTATTACATTTAAAGCATAGTAATCATCAAATGAATAAACAGTGAAGAAAACTTTTTTGTGATATCATAGTGATAGTTTTCAAGAATATTAATGAAAGGCACAGCCTGTGCAACATAAAAAAAAGATTGCATTCGAAATTGGCCCTTCTTGAGGGTTTCAGGGTTCAGATTATTTCTGTGATTTCTAACGTAATGAAAGCTGTCAGTTTTAAGACATTTCACTGTTTTGAATAATGTTTTTGGTAACCTTATTATTTCTCTATTTATTAGCTTGTTTTTCTGATTCATTTTCTAATTTGCTATACCATACTGGAACCCATATTTAATATACTCAAACTAGATGTTTTGCTTTCCGTCTAATCTGTTCTCTCCTATTCACGAGGCTGTGCCTTTTTTTTTCTTTTCTTTTCTTTCTTTTTTTTTTGAATCATGATAAAAATTTGAGACTTAGTTAACAATGTGATAATATTCAAGCTGTAACGCATTGTTGGGAGTGTGTAAACTGCTGATAGACTGTTTATCGTGAGCTTCAATCATTACGATGTATCCGGTTTCCGTAATTATTATCTTATGGTTAAGTTATTAGTTTCAAGCTTTCGAATGAATGTAAATATTATATGCTGTGGGTGATGAATAAATAATTCTGGAAGAATGATGGCGTTATTTTGTGTTTATCAAATAACGGTTTGAACATTCGGGCCTGAGATGATTCTTTCCAGAACTGACAGAGAACACTTGTGATGAAACTTTTTACATTTCACGCTACATTATGTTCTTTGTTACTTAAAATAATTTGCAGTTGCTGAAAATGGTTTATTCCATAGAAAAATAAAATACACTTATAATAACACAACACCTTCAAGCACGGGGTAGCTAGAACTTAACACTAGAGATCAAACCAGTAAGAAGCAAAATTAAATATCATTTATACCTTTTACCTGCTCGTTGTGTTTTCTTTATTATTATTTTCAAGAAGGGGGACATATATATAGGGGATCAGCTTTTACAGTGTAAGTCAACAGACTGAAAGAATATGTGTTATGTGTGCTTAAACATAAATACAAATTTACAGTTTTAATAAAAATTACTAAAAATATTTAGTTTAACTACGATGTTAAGTTTACATCATAATACGTGCAATGTTTGTGATATCTAAGGAGGGCAAATGCCACCTCTTGCCCCTTTCTGCGGGTGCCCATGTCTTG